AACTATTTTGAAGTATTTTAGGAACCCGAAAAATTAAATAGTAAAAAGAAGTCACGATTCTAAACCCTTCTTCGGAACGACCAGAAAACTTACTTCAGCCGAGAAGACTGAACTGAACTGATCGCCGTCGAGATCGCCGTCGGAGGGACCGCCGAATCGCCGTCCGCTAACTATGAGGGCCGTTCGCCTTCTCTACCCTCTAAGACAAGTAGCTGCATCGCCGTTGCCGCCGGTCGCGTTCTTCTCTGGTGCAGTAATAGACACTAAATCGACGAACTGTGCCGCCACTGATGCCAATACGGAAAGTCCAGTGCGCAGAAATCGTCCGAAATTTAAGTGGAACTCGGCTAGTTTCGTCGGCACAGTGGAACAGCCCCTTAGAGTGAATACCAGGAATGGCAAGACACTCAGTGCTTGGACATTTCTCCGAGCTAAAGTCTCCCCGGATTCCAATAGCAGTTTTAGGTCATTTCTTCTGTACCTTTTTATGTAGTTTTGGAATAAGTGATTTCAGTAATTTCTGTAGGAGCAACTCGTTCTTATTTTGTTACTTTGGTGTTATTTGATTGATTCAACTTCTGTGTTGAATACCTTCTGTTTTTATGTATTTTGTTTTGATTAATTTCACGTTCGAGCGCTGTGAATATTATAGGCCTGCCTTTTTGTTGGATGCCTTTCAATTATCAAGGGCCTATAAGTTTTAAAGTCCCTATATTTCTGACATATTTATCTGCTCATAACCTATTTTTCCTCTTTCGTGCTGGTTCATGTTGTTGCCTATGATTATAGTTCCAATTGCATCTTTCTGGCGCTTGGAGATTTAGATAATGCTGTCAAAAGTTTCCCCTTCGATATGCTTAAATTCCCCTGTATTGGTTCATGATTTTGTATATGTATGTGTGCAGGGTTTTTCTTAAACTGTGGGAAGAGATGGCTGAATCAAATCTTGAACGTCTTAAACCTAATGATTTCATCTATGTCGCTGGTACTTTAGAGTCTTATAAGAAGGATAATAAGTGCGGGAAGTCTTATTTATGTTACGAGGTTGAATACTCAAGCATCCACATAACTATATTCTCTTTTAATTTGCATTTTAAACACTTCTCATATAGTTTATCTTGAATTTCTACACTTGGGCTGAATTCTTATCCTTAGTTTTGTAGCTAAATTCCAATTTGCATCTGAGCGAGGATGTTTAGCTTTTGGTATCTTGGCTGATATGCACTGGCCACTGAACTAGTTTTTACTTCATGAATCCTCTAATGGTATTTGATCTTTCAAGAATTTATTTTATTTAACATTTTCATTGTTCGAATTTTCCAGTACTCTGGTATAGTGTGTGATCCTAGCTAGTCAAGGGTTTTTTGTTTTCCTTTTAAACATGTCAGGATCTTCTAACACTTCAAAAACAAGTAGTATATTAATTTATTCAGGAAAATGGCAGTAGAACTGCTGTAACTTATGTAACGTTCTTACTTCACTCTGGAAAATGAAAATGTGATCGGATCTTCACAGATCAGTTTGGATTGAAGCATTGCGGTTGTTTTCATTCTTTCATTTGACATGCTGTCCCCTCCATCTCTGTTCTTTACTACTAGAACATGTTGTCCATTTCATTCTTTCATAGTCTAAACGCTCTATGTAATAATTGAAAGTCATTACTGTAATTTCTGTTGGGTCAAAGAGTTCTTCCTCCTTTCTTTCGTACATTTCATTTTTCTGTAATGTTTTTTCTCTGGAAAAAAAAAAAGAAAGAAAGAATATGATGATTTTGTCAACTGGACTGTACATATTCAACATGGCCATACCTGGAGGTTACTATTCTATCTGTTTTATATTTATTTTGTTTATATGCTCTTTTTTTTTCCTGCAGTTAACTGTGTCGGAGTTGAATTACATAAAACAATATGATCAAGGCTCAAAAAGTCAAAATGATGAAGGCGTGCGACATGAAGAAGGTATGTTTTGAATCTCTTGCTTTTTAAGTTGATGGAACTTTTTAGTTATATATAGAAATAAGTAAGATCTCTTGTTTAAATGTTAAAAAGTTAATTTGTTTCTGTTGAAAATTATTTTAATTTTGCTGATTGAATTGAAATTCAATTTTCTGCATAAACAATGGCGTTGTTAGTTTAACTAGTGTGATCTCGAGAGGGCATTCCACCTCTGGCTTCTGGAAAAGAAAATGAGGAAAATTTTCATGCTTATCAAACTTTATGCGAGTACTTGTACAATTTATGAAACATCCCGAAAATTGAAATAAGCACAAAAGTTCTTGGGGCCTCCCTCAAGGTCAAATAAGAAGGAACTTGAGGTGTCTATGAAAGAATGAAATGGATTAATAAGAAAGTTTGACCTCAGTACAAGTAACTTCATGGTATTAATAAGAAAGAACTTGGGGGCCTCCCTCAAGGTCAAATAACTTCAAAATTGCTTTCCTTCACCTCTCCCTCACTCTAATTATTACCACCTCCTCACTAACAGAAGTCATTCAAAGCAGTTACGATTGTAGTATTTTGCTTCCTTCTTGTATTCTCTATAGCTTCAAATAAAGCTTAAGCTTTTACTAAATCTAGCAAGATTTAAACCTTGGATCCCTTTTCTTGACCTTGAGACATAGCCTTTGAGACATTTTTTAGTGCTCTATTGATGTTATGGTGGACGCAAGTCATGTTTTATCCTTAAATCTTCTTTTTAATGTAAATTTATCTGTTATATCACCCCATTTTGGTATTACAGGTGACCCTCGTAAGAAGTACAGGGAACGCCTGCATTTGTGGCAAGTGTTTTTCGGCAGCCCATATGAATGGTGGGATAACAGGAACCATAAGTCAAACTCCAAACATCCGGATTTTAGACACAAGAGTACGGGTGAGGCCCTGTGGCTGCAGGCAACAGATCCTCCGTGGATCAGAAAACAGCTTGAATTTCTCGATGGCAAAATGGAAGAAAAAGACCAACATTGTCATTTTGGTTCTGATTCTAGCATGTCAAAATGGTTATATAGCTGAAGAAGCCTTCTCGGAGGTTTACATTGCTCCTTATGCTAGAACACATATTTAAATGAGTAAAAAATCCGTTTCCAAGATTCCTCTATGCAGTTTGACTGTGAAAGGCCAGAAGAGGAACACCGAAACAGAGTAGTTTTCTTGGCAGAGATTTATATTGTATATGTACATAAAGGGGAAGTTAAAGCATCAAGGCCAGAACGAAGCAAATGGACCATTTGTAGATTGAAGATACATGTAGGAGGCATTTGTTGGTGTTTTCTCTCCCTTTTACTTTCAGTTACTTCAGAAAACTACTTGTGCCATAACTGTCTATATTAGAAATTGGGATGAGCTTAATTCTCTTCTTCTGTACCTTTTTTTTTAGTAAAATACACATGGAGAAGAACTGAAAAGACAGTCAACAAGAACTGAAAAGGAAAATGGTTCCTCCCATTATTACTAAACAAATGGATCCCAAACATCAAGTCTGAAAATGATTTGAGATAAGATCCTGTCTACCCTCATTTCTTGGGGAAAACAAAGTGAATAGAGAGAGATATTGTAAAACAAGGCATAACAACTTAAACGTGTAAATAGATAATACATGTAATACTCAAAAGGACATGCTAAAAATGTCTTAGATCTACAATAGCTAGCAGTGGACTAGAGTTTTGCAGTTATTCAAGTTGTACATGTCTTAGTGTTTATTCTGTGGACAGAGGATTTAGCACTTGCCCAGTGAAAAGCAAAATTCCTGTCTTGTCTTCTCTAATCACATACAAGAATGGGTGGTTGGCAACAAAGTCAATTATGTCTATAGAAAACAAACCCCTCAGTTTTATAACAGCAGCTGAAGCAGCTGCTGCTTCTGTGCCTTCTTCGTTAACCTCAATGAATGACTTGTGGAATATTTTTGAAACCTGAAGTCCTTGAGCCATTTGGGAGTCCACCATCTCTAACAGACCTCCTTCGGTGAAAGGTAACACCAATCCTAACTCCTTCAAAACATTGGAAACTTCGATCCCAAAAGAAATTTTAAACTTTGGCACCTTGAATTGACCCACTTCAACTTGTTGGTATGGAATGTGGTGGTCGATGAACCCAGATTGGGAATCTATTTGTTCGATCAAAGATGGCAATCCGTCCTTCGCATCCGGGAGAAAGAAGTACATAGAGATGCGACGCGGGTCAGATCCTTGTTTGTATGGCAATGCAAGAACTTTAAATCCATCAAAGGCAGTTACATACTGCTTCTTCTTGCTGGTCATAAAGGGAACCTCAACCGAACTCCCATCGAGAAGGTAGAAGTCATGTTTTTCTGTTTTTGAAGCATCAAATTTCTCTTCCCAAGCTCCTTTGAAGTATAGTGCATTTGCAAGGATGAGCCTAGAGAGACTATCCACTGATCCAGGAGGAAGAACCTCAGTGATTAGTCCATTAGTTTCTTTTTCCGCCCATGAGTTCACTTCTGAAGTCACTTCAACAGCCTTTTAATTCAGCAAACCAAATGATCATCATCATCATCAAATATTTGTCAAATAAGACCCCAATAGAAGTACAGAAAACCAAATGATTGAGGACGTATGACCTTTATTCTTGAAAAACAGAGCATATTGTTGCAGTAAAAGTGCAAAAAAAGTAAAGAAGATGAAACAACTTTACCCCAGACACTAGAATAGAAAAGCATCAACATTGCTTATATTCTTGGTAAGATTACGTATTCAGCAGAAACAGAGAGCTACTTAAGCTTTAAAAAATCCATGCTCAGCAAGAGAAAGGGTGTAAGCAGTAAGCAAGAACATAAAATTCCAATTTCTCAGCGATCAATTTAATTTTCCTAAAATTCCAACAATGAGTACGAAATCAAATCTACATAGAATCGAAATCAGACAGCCCAAGAAAGAAAGAAAGAAGCGTTATGAATCGAATATCACCTTAGTCTTGAAATCGGCTTGATTCAGCGTGGCTCTAAAAGCAGTGTCCGCAACCTGTTTGAAAGAAGGCTTGAGAGAAAGCGAGCGGTCGAGCCATACCCCATTGGCGAAAGCGAGGCGAGGTCCGCCGGCGTGGGAGACATCAGCGAAGACGGTGGACACGATTTGAGAAGCGAAGGAGTTGAGGTTGTGGGTGGAGTCGGATTTGAGGAAGGAGAGAAGCTGATCCAGCGGGGGGCCATTGGAGCCAGCAGCAATAAGGCTGAGCACCACATGGATTGACAAGGGCGAGAGCACCAGGTTGGAGTTTTTGGCTTCGTGTTGGAGAAGGCGCTTGGTGATGGCCAAGGCGACCTCGCCATGGCTTTTGATTGTTTCTCTGATGTCCATTTTTTGGGAGCAGGAAAATCGGTGAGAGATGGAACTTTGTTACAGACAGATCGCCGGTGCTGCACAACTTGAACTTCAACCGATTAGCAATTAATGAAAGCGTGGAATTGATGAAGAGGGGAGGTTAAAGTTAAAACGGTGTCGTTGTGGTTAAGTAATCAAGGGACCCATGGTCCCGGACCTTGACTTTTGACCCGCGCCCCACACGCGTTGCACGTGGATAATATAGTTGTGTTGTGTGTCTAGGAGTGGAGATGGTATAGAAAGAAACGAAAAATTGTCTCTCTCAATTTTTTCTCGTTATTTTTTTTTCATTTATAACTTCTATTTTTTCTTCTATAAACAAATATATGCAAACTTTTTTTTTATAATTTTATTTTTCACTATAATATTTTTTTTCTCTTTCTTTATTTTATCTTTGCTCTTTCGTCTTTTCTATCTCTCCGCGTTTTTATCTCATCTTAACTTTTATTTTACAATTATTTTCCATAATCCTTTTCTTTTTCTCTAAAATTTTTCTTTAAAAGTTATTTTTCATCTCTTTAAACTTTTAATTTCATGTCTCTACCTTAGGAATTATAAGAAATGCCGGATCCTAGTCCAAAGAATAAGGAATCCATTTTCCATCGTGCCTCAACGTCGTCCTTGATTCCATTTTTCAATATATTTTATTAACTCTTTTGCTAAATTATGAATAAAATATTAAATCTTTTTAAAACTAATTATTTATACCAGTAAATAATAAATTTTAAGTAAAATATATAAAAATTAAAATGTGACAGAGATTAGACCATTCAAATTTATCGTGATCCCAGAGTGAACCTACTGAGAGTGAAATACAGTTAGGGATGACAAATGAACCTGCGGGACTCAATCAGCTCCTTGAGACTCTGCAATCAATTTTGTTATCCTATCAAGCAAATCATAATGCAATCTCATTTGGTGGGGTGGAGGAATGTAAATTAAGAACTTGCTCTCAATTGAAAACAACAACAGTAACATTATTCAAAGGATAGATTGAAAAACCAACAGTAAAAAGTTAAGCACATATATTGCTTAGCCAAGAGGATTCAGGAGTTGTCCGATGAAAAGCAAAACTCCCGTCTTGTCTTCTCTGACAGCGTACAAGAATGGGTGGTCCGCAACGAAGTCCACCATGTCTCCACAAAGCGAACGCCCACACACTGCAATTTAACAACAACAGCCGAAACCGCCGCAGCTTCTGTGCCTTCTTCACCAACCTCAATGAACGACTTGTGAAATAGTTTAGAAACATAAAGTTTCTACCAATCTGGCACTCGTCGTCGTCCACCATTTCTAACAAGCCTCCTGTACGGAAAGGCAAAACCAATCCCAACCCCTTCAAAACATTGGAAACTTCAACGCCAAAGGAAAATTTGAACTTTGGGACATAGAATTTGCCAACTCGAACTTGTTGGTACGACCCAGATTGGGAATCTATTTTGTGTATCAAAGATGGGAGGCCATGTTTGTGATCGGGGAGAAATAAACACATGGAGAAGCGACGTGGGTCGTGGCCTAATTGTGTGTATGGCAATGAAAGCAGCTATGTACTGAGCTCCCGTCAAGAAGATGGAACTGGTGGTGCTGTGTTTCTGCCGCTTTGAAGTAGAGTGCATTTGCAAGGATGAGTCTTGTGCGAGTGTCGATTGATTCTGGGGGAAGCACTTGTGTGATTAGTCCATTGGTTTCCCTTTCAGCCCATGAGTTCACTTCTGAAGCCGCTTCATCAAAACCAACCAAATGATCAACCACATTATTTATTGAGAATTTATATAAATGAATTAAATTTAGTTTATTATATTTTTTGGTTGAGTGGTCGTTTATTATCCTAATATGGATTGGTATATTAAAGGGTTTTGAAAGCCAACAAATCAGAAACTTGTCATGTGTATCACATGTTAAATGTGTACAAAGTAGAGGGTCATCTGGCGGGTCGATTCGATTTGGTTAAAATTTAAAATGGTTTAGGATTTGAAAAAGGAGGAACAACTAAATTTTTGAAACGACTCATCTCTCATTGGCTCAAGTTGTGTGAATACTTTCTTCCATAATCTCGTGGTTGGGCGGTGGCTGCTACAACGGCCATGGAAGTGGTGTGGTTCGGTGGCTGCGAGGATTTCTCATTCGTTCAGCATAAATCAATCAAAGAGGCATCTGTAGCAAAAGTAGGAAGAATTACCTTCCAGGCATCTTAATTTGCTAGCTTTTGGAAGTTCGTCCTTACACATCAATCTTAATTGGATCTTGATATCAATTTAATGGAAATATGGGAGGAAAATATTGATAAAACGTGTAGTTGATGGATATTTCTATAAAAGTTTGAGAAATTTAAAAATTGTATAAGAATATTTAAATTAACAAATAAATATTTTTTTATTTCTAAATAAGTAAAAAATGATTAATACTAATATTATGTATATATTAGCGACATTTTGTTGATATTTTTCATATTTTATTGATATTTTTTATAATAAGATGGAAAAATTGATTTGATATCGAACCCACGGATACATAAAATGTCACATAGACTACGATATTTAATATCATAATCATAACTAATTTTAGAGGATTAAATCATTACAAAAGGTACAAAGCTAATATTAATAATTTTTAACTTTTTGAAAAATGCATATAATTTTTTTAAAACCTTAATTAAGTTTACATAAATTATGAAGAGTCTGAAATAAATTCCAAATCTGAACATATATATCCACTTCAACCACCCTAAATTTCTTCAGTAGCTTTACTTGAAAGTTGGTGAACTGTAATGTCAAAAGTCTTCGAGCCATGAGACACACTGCACAAAGAAGTACGAAATATGAATAAGATATATATGACGTTTCTTTATAATATTATTACAAAAATGTGAGGTTCGAAGTCAATAATGTAAATATGAAGTAAAAAGAAATAATAGTTTATAATAAGTTAAAAAAAAACAAATGGTTAATTTGTTCACCAAGAGACTCCTGATCCAAAAGTCTACTATGAGTGTGTGATTTGAAGTTCAAATCTTATTCCAATTATATGAAAAATAGCGGTTTATAAGTTTAAATTATATGTCCATTAATATGGAACTTGTATATATAGTTTGTAAGGAAAAGACAAACAAAGTCCCACATTAATTAGGGAAGAACATGATCCATGGTATATAAGAGAGGACAATTATGTATAAGATTTTTTGAGTGAAATCAAAAGCAAAGCTTGTGAGAACTATATACAAAACGGACAATATCATATAATTGTAGAAATACTTGGTGTACTTGGAATATCGTTGTCCTTTTATATATATATATATATATATTTATTGAGAAGGAAAAAGAAAAAGTAAAAGAGAAAAAGAGAGATGCCAAATATTATATTTTCTTGCTAGAAAGGGAAAGTTCTAACTTTCAAGTATAATCCAACATTTTCATGGATTTCTATGTAAGATTTTTTTTGGGTGAAACCAAAAATACACCGTGTAGGCTTAAACTGAAAATAGACAATGAAGACAATATGATATCATGTCTTTTTTCCTAATATTGAATACTAAGTAGTAATTAGACTGCATTAACATAATTAGGCAATTTTTTTCAGTACAATTTAAGCAATTGGGAGAGGGAGAACAATTTCATTTGCTTTCAAAGCTAAAGGGTTTTCTTGTTCCTTAATATTCATGTGTCTAGGGCCCATTTTATCATAACCCGAAGCACTTTGTCTCTTAGACAGCCAACAAATTCAATTAAAAAAAAAAAGATCGGGATATTCGTTCTTAAACCAAGATTCCTGCAAAAAAAAAAAATAATAATAATAAAATAAAAAATAACCACATATGTTAAAATATGATCAAAATCTCACATTAACTAAATAAGAGGAAAACCATGTGTATATAAGTAAAGTATAATATCTATATTGGTACAAGATATTTTGATAAATCAAAGCCCCCGAGAATTAATGTCTAAAGCAGACGATATATCATATACTATTGTTAACATGACAACCTGAAATGAATATCTCTATCTAAATGGTCAACTTTATTGGAATTTCTTTTTTCGTTTTCCAAATAAATAATAGCATGGAGAGTGGATCATGTATCCTTAATCATTTATTGGGATAGACCCTAAAACTCTGTCACATGTTCCTATATAAACAAGAAAAGAAAAAATACATAAACGTAGAATATAATAATCGCAACAGCTTGTTTTAGCTTTTGGTACATGGAAGGTGATGGATTATTTAAAAGTCAAAAGAAATTATTGGCAAATTATATGGTTAAAATAGGTCAACTCTTTGCAACAAATTTTAATTAATAAGGCTTGTTTAAGATGACTATAGGAATAATTAATGCACCACAACTATTGGAGAGAGGAGTACGGTCATTTATTTATTTATTTATTTATTTGAACAAAAATAATTAACTTCAATGAGGATTATCTTTTTATTAATTGCGCCAATGTGGGTTCTTGGGATTTTAAAAGAAAAAATCCATGAGAAAAAACTATATCATTATTCTAAAAAAAATGAGAGAAAATTAAAAGTATCTCTCTAAAAAGACATGTTTGACCAAAGTCAATGTAATTTGTTTCTTTAACAGAATTGGCCATGGTCATGTTTAAAATAAATGACTATTTGAGGGAGATTCAATAGAAAAGAAGGGTAATTAAAGTCTTACTTAAATGATAGAGAAAGATTAAATGTTTACGAGTAAAGAGAATATCTTCATTAATATGAAGTCTTTTAGGTAAGCATTGATTTTTAACTTTGAAATAAACATTATCTTATAAATGTGGAGACTCATTGTTTGTACACCTCAAAGTAATGTCACTGTATTTAAATTTAGGCTTCATTTCATATATCATGATTTTATTTTGTTTGTTAGAGATGCAATCGATACATACAAAAGTGAGTACTTTCTTATATTTTTATTATATACGTAAATATTATATATTTTCATGTAGGGAGTCCACCTATTTATAACTAAATTATTCTACTTTCTTTTTTTAATATAACATGTGGGAATGAGGATGAAACTCACAGCCTCTTAATTGAAGATATATATCAATTACCGCTGAATTATGCTCGCTTTGACACTAAATTATTCTACTTCCTCTCTTGTTTAATGATACATTATTCTTCGATTAATTGCTATATGTGATTTTTTATTTTCCTTTGTTTTCGATCTTTTTTTATTTTTCATTCTCCTCCCTCCAAACCAAAGGTTTTCATTTTTTTCCCTTTTTTCATTGTTGTTATTAAAAATGTTGTGGACATCTTCACTTCCTTCTGGGTTTACTCTCATATCTCATTGTTATTTCACTTTCTTCTCTTCCATCAAACTAATAAAATTTATATTCCAACAATTTTATATTCGTATACAAAATTATTAATTTTTGTTAACGTGGCACTCAGACATTTTGCAGGTTATGTGTGAGCTCCGATAATTAAGTCAACAGATAAAGTCAAAAACCTCCCCCACAGAAACAAAGGCTGGCATGGAAATGGTGGACTTTTGGGAACCCAATGCCAATTATGTCATCATCAGAGATTCCCCATTTTAGTGGAATCCCATGTTCAGAAAACAAACCCATATCCCTACTCCCTCAGCTCCCTCCATATATAAAATCCCCCAAGAATTCCAACTGAATCAGCACAACAATAAACCTCTGGAAAATCATCAAAAACAATGGCAATTTTCTTCTTAACCATCCACTACTCTTTACCTTTTTTCTGAGGTAGCTCCTTAAATAATTTGTTTTGTTTCATGATGTTATCCACAGGGAATAATCTGCGGATTAGGCAATGAAAATGGGGAGAAGAAGGAAGCAAAACGAGGAGGAAGCAGAGCGGCTGTGTTTGTTTGTGGTTATTATCATTTATTGCACACGTTTTATTACACTAGAGAGTAGAGATAGATTTAAGGCTTGAATTATTGATTGATTGGTTTGCAATTGCATTTTGAATAATTTTGTAGTGACTGAAGGGCTGGAAAATATGGCATTCGTGTCCTTGGCTCTGAGCCTGGTGACGTATTTCAGTGGGTATATGAACTTCAGCTTGACGAAATCGGCCACAACTCTCACCAACTTTATGGGAACTACATTTCTTCTCACGCTCCTCGGCGGTTTCATTTCCGACACTTATCTCTCAAGATTCAAAACTTGCCTCATCTTCGCTTCTATTGAGTTCATGGTCAGTACACTACACACTACTCCCGCCCTTTGTTAACAATAATATAGATGAGAGATTTGAAAGTGATTTTTGCATAACAAAAATCTACGACTACTCTCGAGCAGCGAGAGTGAAAACACTATCCCTCAAGGTGGTCGTAGATCACGGGTCAACGTTTTCTGTATTCTTCAATAGGAAAGAAATTTCTCGAAACCATAGAAATAACACACTGTTATTTATGGATTTGAGTCAAAGAAGTAATGTCACTCGTAATTATTAAATAAACAATAATTTTTTTAATCTCAATATAACACCTTATACTTATAATAAATCTAGGAACTAGATCAAAAATTATTGTCAAACTCGTACCAAAATCACTTTCAAGTATATCTCTAATATATGTATATAAGTAATTTTGGAAGGAAAATACGTAATTCTGTACGTTACCATCAATAAATATTCGACAACTCATTATTTCTAAAAAAAATATTTTTACATTTCTCTGTTTTAGTTGTCGAATATTATCAAATATTTAATGATGGTAAGAATAAAATTTATAGAGGAGCAAGTATTTTCCATTTTAACAAGTGACAAAAAGTGATAAAAAATCAACTAGGATTCTTGTTGTATTTTAGCCCAAAATTCTTATTAAATTTCGATCGACTTTCAAAATATATGTATTAGTTTTCAATTTTTTTTAAAGAAATAATAAATAATAATAATTTTTGTATTCACTTATTTAGATATTTAAGTTTATTTGGTGCAGGGATATGGTCTACTGACGGCGCAGGCGCATTTCCGGGAGCTGAGGCCGGCGCCGTGCAAAGGGGCGGTGGCGAGGGAGTGCGAGGCGGCGGACGGTGGGCAGGAGGCAATTCTCTACTTGGGGATTTACCTCATAGCGCTGGGAACGAGTGGGGTGAAATCGGCGTTGCCGGCGTTGGGCGCCGATCAGTTTGACGGCGGCGATCCGGCGGAGGCGGGTAAATTATCGAGCTTTTTCAACTGGTTCTTGTTTAGCCTGACGACGGGGTCGATCGTGGGGCTGACATTAATCGTGTGGATAAACACGGACGTTGGATGGGACTGGGCGTTTGTTGTGTGCAGCCTCGCGGTTGTAGCCGCCATTGTTGCTGTGTGCTCCGGGAAGAAGTTTTATCGGAATAATGCGCCTAAGGGAAGCCCCATACAAAGGATTTTTCAGGTACCATCTATTTTATTTTCAACAATATTTTGACGTTCCCTGGTAAATAGTTATTAATAAAAAAATTAATTTTTTTTCATGTATCTCTTTTTGTACATGTCAAAGTTTTAATGGTAATAAATATTTTTCTTTGATCTTTTTGGAATATTGATGCATTGGTTTTTAAGCTTTTGGTCTTTGGTTGATGAAGAAAATCCAACAAAAAAAAAACTTTTATTCATTATTTTTGTTTGTTATGTTAGAGTCATAACTTGTATTAGAGGGTCCCATCTTTTTTATTTTTATAGTTGGATGGTAATTTTTGAAATTTTTCTTTTTTTTTTCCTCAACACAGTTGAGAGATTGACTAACTTCTAAGTTCTAGTTTTGAAGATTTGTTAGGCTAACTTTCTCCGAAGTATCACCATCCAAAGATTCACCATTTAGTTTATAATTGCGAATATAAACATAGTTCAACTAACACGTATATCTGACTAAAAAAATAATGAATTCAAATATCCAATCCAATATCAATCATCATTCAATTGTTATTTAATCGTGTCCATATAGTTATTTAATCGTTTCCATTCTCAAGTACAGGTGTTTGTAGCTTCAATCCGAAATAGGAAGCTTCCACTTCCAAAGAATGCTGATGAACTACATGAGATCCGTGACAAAGAAGCTGCCATGCCATATGAAATCCTTGAGAAAACTGATCAATTCAGGTGTCACATTGTTTTTAATCTTCATCGTAAAAAAAAAAAAAACAAAAGTTTTGGTATTCAATTGGTTGATAAATAATGCAACATTTTGGTAGATTCTTGGACCGAGCGGCAATTATAAGGAATTATACAAGTGCTTCAATGGCAGCTGAGCAGCAAGGGCCATGGAGGCTCTGCACAGTAACACAGGTTGAAGAAACAAAGATCTTAATCCGAATGCTCCCAATTATAGTCAGCACCATTTTCATGGCCACCTGCATGGCTCAACTCCAAACATTCTCCATCCAACAAAGCATAACCATGGACTCCAATTTCCTGGGATTCAAAATTCCCGGTCCCTCTGTCCCCGTCATCCCTCTACTCTTCATGTGCTTCTTGATCCCATTTTACGAGCGTGTTTTCGTTCCCCTGGCTCGAAAAATCACCGGAATCCCCACGGGAATTCGGCACCTCCAGAGGATCGGCATTGGACTGGTACTCACTGCTGCATCGATGGCCATTGCAGGGTTCGTCGAGACACGACGCAAGAACATAGCGATCGAACACGATATGGTGGATAGTGAGGAGCCCTTGCCAATGAGCGTGTTCTGGCTGAGTTTCCAATTCTGCATATTTGGAATGGGGGATATGTTCACTCTTGTAGGACTGCTGGAATTCTTTTATGCAGAGAGCTCTGCAGGGATGAAGTCGTTGAGCACAGCCATTGCTTGGTGTTCGATCGCATTCGGCTACTTCACGAGCACAGTGGTGGTGGAGGTGGTGAACAAGGCAAGCGGAGGGTGGCTGGAGAGCAACAATCTCAACAGAGATAAATTGAACTATTTCTATTGGTTACTGTCAGTGTTGAGTGTGCTGAATTTTGGGTTTTATTTGATGTGTGCTTCTTGGTATAGATATAAGAATGTGGAGATTCTTCAGAATGATACTGAGGAAGAGAAGGATGACATAGCAAGAGGAGCATAGGAACATGTTTGGTTGCTGTCATATTCTAAATCTAATATTTCTTGGTATATTTCCTTCTCGTGGTGTGTGAGATTCATGTCATCAAATATAGGGGCGCTATCGAGCAAGAAAAGGCCCATCAACTAATTCTGCTACGATTGACCCATCATATCATTCTAAGAAACAGACGATACCAATTATCTTAAAATGTCTATATATTCAAATAAACATATTCCATCTTCTTCTTCTTTCATAGTTACAGGAAAGTGAAAGTACAGCACAAAACACACGAAAATAAACAAACATTACTATGAAATTTGTTCATTACTACGATAAATTTGCTGCGTATGTCTCCTTTCGTCTCAGCCACATGTCCACAATGACTGAAGCAATAGAGCGAGCTGAAGTTGAGCAATGCTCATCCCCTAGCCTTTTTGACAGTTCCTGGAACACGCAAACCCTTCAAAGACTTGAAAACTAAGGTTCCAGAATACAGAGTTGGGAGGCTAAAGATGAGTTCCCCTCTACTTTTTTCCTTTCTTTTCTTCTTTTTTTTTTCAATTTTTTGTTTCTTGTCCCAATTTGGATGAAGAATAGCATAGGTTACAACACCACGAGGGACGAGTTACTTTCATTAATACACACCGTTTGGACATGTAGTCCATCCAAGTTTTATATGCAAAGATATTTCAGGAATCGGGACCGAATGGGGGGACTTTGTCCCTATGGAGGTATGACAGGGTAGGATAGTACCAAGGGCATTGTGTCAGGAAATCCCCAGTTTTATCTTGCTTGCATGAGGTGAATCTGCCATACTGGACCCTTTGGGGGGAGGAGGCCAATACTTGAACAATGATCTACCAACAATATTTTCAATAGCGAGTGGACCCCTGAAAGAGAGAAAATTAAAGTTAAATACGTGAAAGAGATGCACATGTTTTGAGGGACGGGGGGTGGTGTGTGTAAGATACTCGAACACCGTTCAATACAACATATGTGACGCACTACATACATGCCTATGTGCTGGAAGTTATACCGAGTGTTTCGAATTAAAAGGGAACTGAGATGGTGAAATTACCAGTTATGAGAATCACAACTATTGTTACGGTTGTCTCCCATAACATACACATAACCTTCAGGCACAACCTTCAGAAGAAAACAAGATGATTATTAGATCTCAACCAAATTGTCTACTTATTTTCTCCCATTGAACTAAATTTAGGTTATTTTTATTTGCAGAGAGGAAGGATTAAAAAGGAAAGACAATTTACCAACGGATCCATCTCATAAGCAATTGGCTCTAAGATGAAGTCCTCATCTTGAACAACACCGTTCACCACCAATTTCCCTTTAAGAACCTACAACATGACGTTCAAATGCATCAAGTAATTGATGGCATAGAGAACCATACTAATTCTAGTCAGAAATTAAAAACAAGATGACTAAAGGTCGGGATCTAAATCTGAAATGCTTATGGAGTCCTCGATCAAATGGTTAGTGTTGAGCAACTACTAATGGTTCGAGCTTCGAGGATCACACTTTTACTAATATATATCTCATATTGTAACATAATTAGGTTCCCATTTGTCTCCATCATTGAAGATATATATCTCATATTGTAACATAATTAGGTTCCCATTTGTCTCCATCATTGAAGATATGAGTCTTACAATCCTATATGAATTAGTTCTATAATCACCATGATGTATCTTTTGTAAAATATGAAGAACATGAGGTTAAATGGGAAGAGGGAATTTTCGTATCTAAATCTAAACCTAAAATGGGAATTATATTTTCATGTTATTAGAGAGATAAAAGAACAACATTCATTTTCAGATTCTTCTCTCTTAAACTCTTTATCTACATAGACTTCATCTCTTGCAAACATTCATCAAGTATTGCAACTTTGACTCCAAACTTCCTCTGGCCAACACCATATATTTCCATGAGATAGGAGAAGGGGAAGATAAGGCTCTCTGGATGCTGGAAAAAGAGCAAATTTTTACCACCAGATCAGCCTTTTTGAAATTAATAGAGTGCACTCCCTTGCTGAAGGCCCCCCTCATTGCTCAAAATTCCAAAGAAAATTAAGGTTTTTCTTTGGTCAATGGCTTATAGAAGCTTAAATACTCACGAGATTATCCAAAAGAAAAACACAAGCTGGGCACTCTCCCCTTCGGTGTGTAGTCTTTGCCTTTGTGGGGAGGAGACCACTGACCACCTTTTCATTCACTGTACCTTTGCAACAAGATGTTGGTCTTTTATTTTGGAATCTTTTGGCATTTCTCTATGCTTTCCTCAGCAGATTGATGGGTGGCTTCATGAATTACTAACGGGCTGGTTTCTTCCCAAAAAAGCAAGGGTTATATGGAATTGCGCTACAAGGGCTCTTCTCTGGCATTTATGGGGAGAACGAAATCGTCGTATTTTTTAAGACAAGAGTTCTACTTTTGAATTTTTTTGTAGATGTGTTCAGCACACTACTTCTTAGTGGTGCCTTAGCTATAGCAAATTTTTTTGTAATTACAATCTTTCCACTTTCTTACACAATTGGAAAGCTTTTGTATAGCTTCTCTGGGTGGGGTTGACTTTACCCCGCCCTTAGGGTGTTCTTCTTTTGAGTTGTTCTAACATAAGGTTTCTTATCAAAAAAGAATTTACTATCAAAATGTCAGTTAGTTCCTACACATGTAGACAAGGACCTCTCAGGAAATATTGATGGGCGACTGGATCCACCAAGCAACCAGAAGAGAATACCATAATCCAAAAAAAAAGGAGCTGTTGTATCTTGTCAATACTTAATCAAATGGCACTAGAGTGATCAATTCTATAAGCCATATAAATGAAAATCCAGTTCTTAGAATTCAAGCCCAGGTTGTTCCAGGCAGATTAATTGTAAGAAAAAACTACAGTTGCTTGATGCTGTTGCTGAGTTATGTGACTAATGGCTTCCAGAATCCTGATGTCACCTAATATAATATCCATCCCATGATGGTACTTTTTTTTTTTTTTTGATATCCATGTGTCCGGGCCAACCGTCTGATCCTGCTATATTTGGTTGACAAGGAAACTCGTGGGATATTAAATCCTAGGTAGGTGGCCACCATGGTTTGAACTTATTCCCTCTCAGTCCTTTGCTATTTACATTGGCCCTCATTGACCACTAGGTCATCCAATGATGGTACTAGCTTTACTTAATTCCTCATTTATCTCCATAATGGTAGATTTATTGATTCAGGTGTTACTTGGAATTCAGGCTAATCAGTTGTTTCACTTTTTTGCTTACCAGTAGAAATCATAAAATATAATAATATTACAAGTTTCCTTCACTTACTTCAACCACATCGCCAGACGTAGCCACGACTCTCTTAATAAACACCTCACTTGAACTAACTCCGATTTCCTAAATGGGGAAAAACAAAAAGTTGCAGGAAAATATCAGCATCCAACATTACTTTACAATAAAATTTCCTCAAAAGCACCTCATAAACCAAAGTAATACCTGCAAGATTTGAGGAGCTTTAAAGACCACTATATCTGAAACTTCAGGTTTCCTGAAAAAGTATGAAACCTAGTATCAGGAGGAAAAGAAATAGAGATCAGCGTAGGAACAGGAAAGACAACTTTAATGACCTTAAAACATGAGAGCGTTTCAAATTACTCAGACTGAATCATGCTGAAAACTGAAACAAGAAAGAGACAGTTGTTTTGTCATATGATTGTTAGGAGAATAAGATATACGCATATACACATCTTTACATTCAAAATTTTAGTTATGGTAATCATATTCATAGAAGAAAAATGTCATCTAGACCTCACTTATATTAGATCACAAACTATTCATCAAAAATTTGTTGGAAGCATAATAATTCATATATAATGTTAAATGGTTTCATGTAGTTGAATACAAATTCAGAAACAGCCCACAAATACAGTCAACATATTAAGATATATCACAATTCAATTCGAAAGATATCAATTCGATGAACTAAGGATCACCTTTTCCGCTAAAACGCGATCTCCTACTTCCAGAGTAGGATACATAGAAGAAGAAGGAATCGATTTTGGCTCCGCCAAGAACGATTTAAAGAGCACACTAACAGTCAAAGCCGTAAACAGAGCCTTCGCGTCCTCAGAGTAGGTACTCAACAAGCGCGAAACCCAGCTGCTCTTCTCAAAATCATTCTCATAAATCTGGTTGCTCCCAATTCCATCATAATCACTAACAATTGTTCCGCCGCCTTTATCCACGTCGTCGCTTACATGAGATCGTATATCGTAACCGGGAAGCCACTTCGATCCTTGTAGAAATGGTATAATCGAAGTGGCTTTAAACGAAGAAGCCCCAAAAATCCCCGTAGTAATCGAAGAAGAACCAGAAGCAGAAGCCACCGATTTCAGCATCGACATCAAACCCAGAACCACAGGACTCTTTGGATTTTCCCCAACCATTTCTCCGGCAAGGGTGCTGTACATAGAAGCTGGCTTCTTCATAGAGCCACTCGGTTTGAACCGCCGGCTATCGGACCGATAATTGCGCGCGCTTCCAGCAGATTTGAGCTCTGGATTATGGGTCGAGCCAAAAATACAAGATCGGACCCAAAACTCCTGAAAGACGCGGCAGTTACCAGCCCGAAGGCCGGTGGAGGAGGCAAGGTTTTGGGCGACATAGCCAGAGTAAGAGAGAGTAACACGGATAGCCATGATTGCGAATTTGAGTAGGTAGTTTAGGATTTGAAGCAGGTTGGTTGCGGAGACGAACAACGAAGAATCGCAACAGCCTAGAGTCCGATAAGCATCATTTCTTCTTCGGAAAGCAGAGAATCGGCGTCCGAAGAGGGAAATTGAAACCGGAAACTACAGATCAAAAGAATCACGAGCGATTGATGAATGGAGATGGGGCTTTGGGGTAGGTCAACGAGATGAATCTGAGGAGAGGGGGAGCTCGGTTTCCACGAGGGAATCGGAAGGAGGAAACAGAGAGGAAAAACGCGAGAAACCCAAACAAGAAAAAATGAAAAATGGAATATAAAAGAAGAAGATGAAGACGACCGCAGCAGCCGGAGGAAGATGAAGAGAAGGTGAAACGGATATGGACTTTTTGACTTTTTGACTATATCTGCTGCCAAATTACGAAAGAGCCCTTGGACCGTCAAAATTTGTAGAAATGAACGAGGTTAAATTACAGACTGATTTCAATTTAATTCTCTTATCATTCCAGCTTTGTTTTGATTAGCGACTAAAAAATCGATATTTTATATTATTTCTCTTAGTACAATAAATTGGATTCTGAAGATGGGAAATTATTCTAGGTAATAAAGAAAATGTTGTAATTTGATTAACTTTAATTAATTTACTATATTGTTAAAGTTGGTTGAGTAAATGAAAACAAAGAAATTGGTAAATTTTTCAAAGTTGACCATTTGTGATTCTTAACCAAATCCATTCAACTCAAAAAAATTGTAAATAAAGAATTACTTGAAAATTTTTTGTTTAACTTTTAATTTCATTTATTTTAGTACAGTAAATATACCGTACATAGATTTAGATCTCCAACATGAAAAAAATAATAATAATTTACTATCGAATTAGTTTCAGTTGACAATTTTAATTTTAAATTATAATAGATTTGCTTGGATAATACACAAAATTAAATGTAACATAGTTTAGGAATTTTTCAAACAAAAATTTAGATAATATAAATCACTATTCAATTTACAACTTATAGTCGCCATCAATTTCTACCACTCACTGGTATTGTAAAAAATAATAATAATAATAAAATTATTTAAAAGCATGTTTGAATCAATTTAAATGTTGCGAACAGAAAAAGAAACTTTTAAAATAAGGTATAAATTAATAATTGAAACTAACTTCAGATTTCGCATTTCAAAATCCTAATAATTTAAAATAAGGTATAAATTAATAATTGAAATTAACTTCAGATTTCGCATTTCAAAATCTATTATCTATTGAGATAAATTTGAATAGACTCTTGGTCTAGCTGTGGACTTAAGTGAGAGAAAATAAAGTGACGGAAGCACATACGTCAGAATCTCACCAATTTTAGTGTGTTAGAGGAAATGAACAGTTAACACCGCAAAATTAAAAGTATTAAATAAAATAAAAAATAAAAGGAGTTGCCAATATTAACAATAAGATTAAAGGTGTATTTTATTTTATTTTTTTAAGTACACCGATAAAATTCGGAAACACGGTTTTTTATTATTATTATTATTTTGAGTTGAATGGATTTGGTTTGTCAGGGAGAATAAACCTCTTGGGTCGAAGATGTGAAATTTTTGACTTGTTTGTTCCAAGTTTATTATTTTAGGCATATTTGTAAAGATTCAAACAAGGTTGCTCGTCGTCTCTATCATTTCCTTTCGCTGAATAATTCTCCTAGCTGGCTTCTTCGAAGTGTTGAAAAACCGACTATCAAACTTTAGCTTTAATGGCGTTCTAGTTTTTTAATAAACTATTTCTAAAAAAACAAAAAAATTATATCTACTACTTCCCTTCCCTTAATCTTGGAGGTTCAAATATTCGTACTCACATTTCTTGTCCTAAAATTTATGTAATATAATTAATATTTGGTGTTAACTTAAAAATTTGAGGCTTTTTTTTTAATATAAAGGGTATATCACAAAATAAATCCTAAAATAAATTATAGGACAAAATATAGAAGTTTGGGTTATGTCTATTTAAATTAAAATGACACTTGTAGTTCCTCAAATTTGAGAAATTGTTTTAAATTGTCTTTAAGCTCCTTTAAACCGCTTCACGTTGAGAAATTTCAACCAAATAGTTATTTTTCTTTTTTAATACCACCAATATAAGGATGATGGATTGATCCTTTAGCATCTAAGAAAACGAGCAAGGTGTCTTAACCAAGCTTAGTTCTAGTTGACTATTAATCATGAGTTTACTTTAATTATGTTAATCAATATGTATTTATTGTATGATAACTGCTAATTTACATGGTTAATCATTGGCTTAAATAATGATGTACTATTAATCATAATCATGTTTTTTTAAAAAAGGAGGATAACTGTAATTATATTGATCAATTATAATCATAGAAATATCTAATTCATGCTCTTGTTATATATATATATATATATATTTTAAAAAGGTTATTGTTATATGTATAATTACTTTTTAACTATTATGATTTCTAAATTTCATTCCATCTCATTGTATAAACTATTCTACAATAATTATCAAATATATAGATAACCGTTGACATATACTAAATATTTTCTTAATCAATTTTGTTTAGGACTTAAAATTTCATGCTTAAACATCCATGAATTTCGCCCCTTTATTTTAAGGATTTGAATTCCTAGCAAATTGTAAATTGTATTAGACAGGAATTAAATCAATTGGTGGATCCACCTCAAATTTTGTAATTACTCTGTTAGAAAGGTATAATCTCATTTCTCTACAAACTTGATCAATTTCATTCTCCACACCTTTATAATAATTACTTTACAATTTTTACTTTCTTTTTTCTTGTCATCTATTAATGAGACCTATAACTTTCTAAATAATTGTTTTACACTTTTATTATTTGCTTTTGTTTATAAGTTAAACAAAATACTATTTTGATATTTGTACTTTTAATATATTCATTTTGGTCCCTGTATTTTCAACTTTAGTTTATTAGTCCTTGTACTTTTAAAATATTTGTTTTAATTCCTGTACTTTTAAAAAATGACCATTTTGGTCTTTATTTTCAAAATTTTATCACAAATTTACACATATAAAGACTCTTTAATAATAAAGTCATGGTTACATTTCAAGAAATTATTGAGTACAGTCCTGTGTTGAAATTGTGATAGAAAAATGAGATTATAAATAAAATTAAATGACCAAAAATGATTACTTTTAAAAATTATTGGAACCAAAATGAACCAAGACTGAAAATAGAGAGACCAAAGTAGTATTTAACCTTATTTATACTACTAATAATATTTCTTTTAATAAAAATCTATACAACTTTTATTAACTGACGTCATTTTATATAAAATATCACAATTTTCTATTTAATTTGTTAATTTTACTTTGTTATTTATTAATCAATATCAATAAAAATTTTAAATATAATTTACTATTATTAAATATTAGAACAATTAAATTTAATAAAATTTTATATTAAATGATAGTTATTCTGATAAAGAATAATTTCAGTTGATGTAATTTTAATTTAATTATTTATTATTTGTTAATATTTAATAAATGGTTATGATAAAAAATCTTTACTATCAATAAATAAATAGTAATAAAAATAAATAAAAATTTATTATTATTTTAATTAAATAAATGTTGGCACAATAACCTATTTTTGTAATTAGTTAAAAATAAGAAAGGATATACTAGTAATTGTTATATATTTGATTCTTATTCCAATTTCAATCACTTATATATATACCTTGTTCCGTCGAATTTATGTGTATATATATGCAAATACGAATACATACATATACATATACATATACATATACATATACATATACATATACATATACATATACATATATATATATATATATATATATATATGCAAATACGGATAAATAGAATTTTTCTTTATCAAGCATAATTCAATAGTTAAAGTATACCTACTCTCTTTAAGAAGTAGGTTAAAATTATCACCCTACACTGTGATATTATATTTTTGGAAAGTTGACTTTTTTTAATTTAATTTCAATATAGTTTTTTTACTTTTAAAGTTTCCATGCCATTAATGAGATGTAACCAAAATCTAACCTAACGTGTAACTGTGCTCTTAAAAGTAGTCAAAAAATACAAATATCGTCAACGTGAATATCTCAATGATTAAGGTATAAATAACGTTATATAAATAAAGATTCGAATGTTCACTCCTACTAAAGAAAAAAAATACAACATGCATTATTGGTTGCCATTCAAAATAAGATTTTTTTTTCTTTTAAAAAAAAAAACCCTTCAAAATAAGATTGATCCTAGCTTTTTTTTAATATATATTTTTCAATTATAATAATGTTTCAAAATCTCGTCTTTCAACTCTATATAATTTATCAAACTCCTATGTCACATCATAAAGTCCATCTATCACATTTTTACATTAATTTTTCGTCACGTTAAATTTTTATTTACTTTCTAATGAGAGGGATATCTAGTAAACTATAACCAAAGTAATGAAATTTTAATGAATAAAGCAAGTAATCAAAATGGGGTTAAAGTCTAAGAATTACTAAAATTATAATCTACCATAAAGTTAAATCCTAATTAACATTCTCATGAATGAAGTTCCTCTTCTTTCTCTCTTAAAAATATATATACTCTAAAAAGTTGTGGTTCAAGAATCATGAATGTGTTGCATTCCAATTAAGAATAGCAAGAAGATATATATATATTTTTATGACAATTAGTCAAGAGGTGGACACAATGTCCAAGGCATTCAAAGTTGTGAAAGACAATTAGTCCTAACAAAGTGGAAGAGCAATAATAATGGATGCTTCGTCAAAATAAAATAAAAAAATCATTTTCAAACAATATTGCCCCTTTATTGCCTTGGTGGGGTCATTATTCAGCTAATCCAACAATGTAAAAAGTATTTACATAGATAACAACAAAATTCAAATTAAATAATAATGAACTTCTACTTATTATTTTTAATAAATATCTTAATTATCAGCTATTATTAAACATAAATAGTCCTGTTTATTGAGTAATATACTTCAAAAGAAGTTGTAATTTTAAAAAGAATTTCGAATATTTGGGACATATGGCAAAAAAGTGTTTTCTTTTTTAATCTATTTCGTATAGATCTAATATGTTTATAAAAGTATTACAATCTTGGTGATACAAAAATATACTAATTATTCGACTCAACGTACCATATTCTTAAATGAGAAAAAAAAATATATTAATACAATGATGCTCCTATATAAATAACTCTTTCTCACCAACTCGTTATATACTAAATTTTACATAATAAATCATAACTTAACAATTTAAATTCAAATAACCCAAGTTCATACTTTTATATG